AGAATCTAGAAGGCAAAAATCTCATGAGCATAAGGCATGCAGTGATTTGCCACCAGAAGAAAAAAAATACTGCAGTGACTGTTCTCTAGGTAGGAACGATTATGTCCATCAGTGGTTAAGTATTAGAAAGCTAGTCCTGAGTCTCAGTTATGCTCTTTTCATTAGGAAAATACCATCAGCCAGCGAGCAATGCTTTTAATCATTATTTCTCCCCCATAGTTTTGACATGCCATTATACGTATATTGTTGTTGGATGTTCAGGATCATGACTTCACATGAGGATAAAATGTTGTTATCGATGACTACATGATAGAAGAGAACAAAACACCACACGCTCTGTGTGATGTAAAGGCATACCTACTAAAAGACAAATAACTCCAGAACCTTCTTGCTCAAGCTATATTTCAAGAAAGCTGTCAAAGTTAAGGTAATATATACCCTAGGTTAACTTCAAATCATAGTAGTGATTTCAGGATCATGTCACCCCTCAAGTCATTTTAAAAAGTTAGGAGAGCAAACCCAGCAAATTAGAAATAACTCCATTAAGACAAAAAACACCCACATACAAAACAAAACAAAAACACCCCTCAACCTTTAGCAGAAAAGCACTGTAAAGATACAGTAGGCAATCAGGGTTCTCTTGATCATTACACCACAACACATTCCAGTTCACGTAATACTTAATGAAGGTTTTGGAAATTCTCCGATGAAAAGGGTTATAGCAATAGTACCATAAGTCTGGCCAGTTTCACAGCATTTGCAAGTTGATTAAACAATTGCAGAGAGGCAGTGAAGTCACATCAAGGACATTTTTACTAGTGATCTGCCATAAGTTAAGATCTGTCTTGCAAAAGCCAGAAAGCCAGAGTGCATCTCTGCACTCCTATTTTCTGATGTCTTACCTCCTGTTGAGATGGCACTGGAACATGTGCAATAAATTTCTGTTGGCCTTCTTCACCTTCTTTTTCTTTGCCACCTTCCTCATCAGACTTTAAAAAAAAAAAAAGGCACAACAAGTTTACTTTCTGAAGAGGTCATCAGAAATATCTTCTCTTGCTCTTCCACAAGGAGTCAGACAGAAAATTAATGAGGTTACATACAAGAAGCAGGAAAATAGAATCAAACAACACAGGAATGCAACAAGTATCACATATAATTGCTGCTCATTGAAGTTTTCAAGACTGTTGCTCCCATTCTTTACAGGGCTTTTCCTCTGCTGTTGCATGGGCATGAACGTAAAGCTATATTCTCTCCTTTGCCACATCTCTCTTCTGTTTATAACTTTGCTATGCAGGCAGAGGTGAGCTAGCCAACCCAAGCAGAAAGCAAGTGCCTTAAAAGTGTACAGCTCTGTAATGCCTCTTTCTCATGCCTCAGAACTGAGCTTATGAATCACAAGAGATAATGCGTAAGGTAAAAATTGCTGTTCTTCCAGTACCTTGTTTTATTTGTACTATCTCCTTTTCATTCTCATGATAAACCTACTTAGGTTTGGACTGAGAAGTACAAACTGGTTTCCAGTACCCGTTTTACAGATCTCAGCAAGCATCAGGAACATCCCTCACTTCCCTTACTGGCTTTGGAAGCAGGGAGAAGGAAGAAGCAAGAACCACAGAAGAAGTCACAACAGTGCCTGCAGGATCAACAGAACCTTGCTATATCATGATTCGCATATAAACAAGACCTTGCCTGTAAAATGATTTTGCTATGTATTTACAGTGTTAAGTTATACTGTTCACAGAACTGCTTGTGCCGATGAAGACCATACTTAGAAGCAAGACTCAGCAGCGCTCAGTGACAAAGTATTACCTTACCAAGACTAGTATACCAGTGTTCCAGGTAGTGACAATTCATCACAACGTGGTCTCAGCTAACTGTTACCCGTTCCTCACTCTAGCAAAAAGCCTTTCCTAACTGTCACCTTCCCTCTAAACCTAACTTAAACAAGAAGTTCTCATCTAATACTCACTTCTATTAAATGCGGACAATTGTGCAGTAAATTATGCAGAGAGATGGTCAGAACGCAGCAGCAGCAAAGTTTTCAGTGAAGTGAGTTTTCCAAGAAAGTAGCATGGAAGACATCCCGAGTGTTACATTATCTTAGTCATCACATACCTCATCATCATTGACAGCATAGATGTTTACTTCCTCCTCCTCCTCCTCGTCACCTCTCGCAAGTCGTGCCTCTCTCTCCATTTTCCATTTTTCCACTGCTTCTGCTATAACTGATTAGGAAAGGAAAACAGACAGAAACTGAGAACAGCATGGTCCAGCAGTCAGCCCAGTTCCCCAAAGGCAGTCCTCCAGCTACTAAAGCTAGAGCTTCCTTACGTGTAAGACGACGTCTGCTCTTGATTTGCCTCCTATTTCCAAGGCTTTTTTCAACAGACCTAACTCCACTTACTACTTGGTTATGTCTTCTACATTGGAAACACACACTTATTGTGCAACCTTAAGATAGTAACTGATAAAACATGTAGTCTAGCCATTAACGAGCAGAATCCCATTGTTAGCAAGTACTGCACTATAACAATGCGAAAGACATTTTAGACTATTTAAACGTCATGAATAAATGTCAACCCTTCTTTCTGAAATGTATAACAGAGCAGGGGGTCACACGACCTGGCTAAGTGGCTCTTATAGCTCTGTAGCATGTCAGATGTAGATAATGAAGCATGCTCACACTCCTTGGGGGTGACCACCCACATAAGTCACTTCCTTTTCAATTCACAGTGCATTTCTTTTATTTTGCAGCATGTTTCTAGCGATTCAAATTCTGTAACCCTAGTTGCTGCTAGCTAGCAGCTGTCAGGCAGCTGTGGCTCTCTACTGTGCAATAGCCATGTTAAGAGTACTAACACAAATTTTTAAAAGTTTAATCAACAACATTGCCAGTGCCTGAAAATCCTAGGGAGGTGCAAGATTAACGCAACTATAGTTGTAGGCATTTCATACTACCCACAAGTCAGCAGTTACTCCCCTTAGCTCTCAAATGCGAAGCATTAAGTGCTCCACCTAAGAAAGCAAAATCTAACTAGAAGCACATAGCTGTGTTGCTGTGGGGCATCACAACAGAAAAGCTACTCCTAATTAGAGAAGGCTTTTCCATATTTAATGTTTCACACAGTTTAATTCTTCTGCTCACGCAGTAAAACCAGAAGAGTCTAGATAGCAAGTGATCCTTGGAGAATCTTAGGTATCATGGATTAATAGGATCGGACAAAGATATTCCTTGTAATGTGCATCGAAAACACATTCAGCTTCAGATTAACCACATTAACTCAAGTCACGATTCTTTTTGCAGAGTTGCTTGCTTCTTTTATTTCCACATGTTGGTTTTGTTAGCATCTCTGGCCTTATTATTTCAAATGGCACAATCACTTTTGAAGTTTATTTCCTTGAAAAGTCAGAGGAATCCAAATTAACTGCCTCTCCAATCTGTAATTAGCAGGATGTGTAAGATGAACACGGAGTGGCAGGCGTTATTGGAGTACTGCACCACACAACTTCCCTTTGTACAATTGCCTGTCAACCAGCTACTGCACACTTGGGATAAGGCTCCCTGCTCTGCTGCAGAATACAGATAATATTTTCTTATTTTTCCTTCTTCCTTCTTCCTTGTCCTATAACCTAACCAATAAGGCATGATCCCCAACACAAGACGAACTCACATTCAGAAGGGATATTTATAAGAAACAGATGACCAAACCAAGAGCTGCTAAGCATTGATAGCAATTAGATCTCAACTTGTAATCATTTAATAAGTCACTTCCTTCACAGCTTTGTTTACAGCTCTTTTCTCTAATTTCAGAAACAGGAAGGAACGCTCAGAAATGACAAAATCATTCAAACAAAAACTGATTGTTTTTTCTGCTGTGTTCACCACGGAAAAGCCTGCTAGGGTTGCTACAACACAACCGTTTCTTATGGAGCACTTTGAGGATCTGTCTGCTGCTGAAGAGTCAGTAGAAGAGATTATAAAACAAAAATATGAAGCAAACAGTAAACAAATCAGCAGAATCAGATAGTGTTCACCAGAAGATCTAAAGGAACTATTTATGAAACAGCAAAGCTATTAGAAGCGGCGCATGACCTCTTGCTTAAAGCTACACAAATACCCAAAGATGGCAAACACTGAATTTGAAAGAGGGTTTCAGGAACTAGACCAATAATTCTCATGTCTTTACTGGGCAAGTCAGTAGAAACAAAACTAAAGAACTAAATTAACAGACACATGGATAAATATTACTTATTGAGAAACCATGGATGTGGCTTTCAAAGGGAAATCATAAACCTATTGAAGTGGGTAAGTTAATATAGGCCACATGAATTTCAAAGAAGCGTTCCAGAAGGTTCCCTCAAGAGCTTTAAGAAAACTAAATAGCTTTGTGATAAAGAGGAAGAGCATGGTACGGATAAATAATTAGATGAAATTTGACAGCTAAGTGCAAGAAGATGCACATGAAAAAAACCAAGAAGTCTTAACTTCAAAGTTCATCATCATCACCTGCTTGATCCCATTTACTACTCAAGAAGGATATCTTGGATCACCTACAAAACATGTAGCTCCGTGCTCAGTATCAGTCAAAACCAGATTGAACGTTAGGAAATGTTAGGAAGGGAATAGGGAAGGTAATTGATAAAATACCATTGTCACTGTAGAGAAAAAGTCCATAGCAGGCCTACATCTTAAGGGTTATGCCTGATCATCTCCATTCCTCCTGTCAAGAAACAGTAAAATTGGGGCAGGTTCAGAGAAGGGTGACAACGTTTGTCAAAGATAAGAAGTTGTTTCCATATGTGGAACAAACATAAGGAGATTGATGCGCACATAGAAGTAGAACAAGATTCTTCAGATCTGGGCAAGAAGTAAGCGTTTGAGATGGAGAAGAGAAGGTTTAAACAAACGTTTAGTGGCATGGGAAGGGAATCACTCACTATTTATAGTCTCTTCCAACACAAAAGCAGGGGGGCATCAGTCTACATTAGCTTCAGATTTGAAATTAATCAAAGGTAACTATTCTTCAAAAGACAACATGCAGTTAATCTGCCAGACTCCTAGCAGACACAGCATCTTGTGGCAAGAAGTACATATGGACTCAGTGGAAAAAAACCCAATAAGGGTTATAAAATACAAAATAACTACCCTGGCTCAAGATCAAGAGCAACAAAAGGAGGCTGGGTCCCATCCCTTAACTACTTGTCATAAGCATTAGACCACCAGAGCTGAATTTCTAGGCGACACTGAATTAGATAAACTTATGCCTAACCCAGGATATCCTTTATTATTTCCACTGTATTCCACTCTTTTTATGTCTGTAAAGACTTCCCCTTTTTAGGGTAGGCAAGCTGGGGTCAGCCCACCCACTACTGTTTCCAGATGTTATCAGACGAGCTGGACCTGGGCAAAAGATGGGATTGGAATGGGTGTGCAGGTTAGAAGTAAGAGAAGTAACTAGAGCAGGGAGAAGGACCAAAGTAAGGGAGACCTGATGAGACAGCTGCTGCTTCCGCAAAATCAGCTTTGTTATGGAATACTACAGGGGAAAAAAAAAAAAAGCATCTAGTGCAAAAGATGCATTTTGTTTAGACTTAAGAGAGTATGGGATATAAATAACAGGAGCTGATGCTTGTTTTGAACAGGATAAAGCTTTGTATAATTTTGTGCTACCTGTTTTGGAACTCTAAGCCTCTACTTGGAATTAGGTCACCCCGAGAAAGGGGCTAGATCCAGAATCAAAATGTCAAGAGGACATACCATGAAGAACTATGCAAGCCGAGAAGTGATGCGCCAAGCTTTACGAACTGCTGTACAGCAGCTAAGAGTTTTCCTTCTAAGGCAAAATAAAAGCCATACTAGGCAAAAGGAGAGAAGCTAAAAAGGCACCATTCACGACTATTTACAGACTTCCTCATAATCAATTACTGCAGCTTAGTTATTTCCTTTACTATATTGTGAAAATAATGAGCCATAAAGTTACTTCCCTACAGCTTTGTAACTGCAGAAAAAATAACGTCCTAGGCACATCTGAATTAAGCAATTCAGCTGACAATTTAATTTTTTCTACTCCATGCAGCTAGTCACTCTGGATCAATGAACAAAATACTTGTGTGCATAGCGTTCCACCGGAATTTATCAGAATTGTAGCTATAAATACATAGAGTGTCAGTTTTAACGAAGATCTTAAGATCTTCATTATCACTGCGAAAAAGAGATGAAGAGTGGCTTTTCTCTACATTAGAGGTTACCAAAATACTCTAATGTCTAGATATCTAATTCTAAGTAGATCTAGATGTCAATTTATGCATTTAATCTCACACACCTTTCCTCTCATGTTCTTGTTCCAGTGGCTCCAGAATACCATCATCTTCATCCCTGTAGCCATAGTATTCTGCATCGATGGATTTCATAAGCTCAGCACGAGTTTTCCGGGGTGGTGGGAGGGCTAAAACAAAAAACCAAAAAACCAAAAAACCCACATAACTGTCATTCAACCAGCTGCATCTTGACAGTTTCCTATGCATCCTGGTTCCCATCAACCTCACAGTAACTACAACTACCTCACTAGGCTCATAACTGCTGTCAGTACCAGAAGTACTGGTACTTTTCCCCAGCTCAGACAATCAGATAGTTTGAATACATAACCCCGATGCTTCAGATTGTGGCAGTTCCTAGCTTAGGGCAATTCTATGCTCCGTCATGCCTTTTTTCATACTGACGTCTCAGTATCGAGCAAGACTAATATGTGAAAGGGACTAGAGAAGTGTCCGAAGTTCCCCCAGATCATGCAGTACTTCCCATCCTTTTTCCTTTGTGGAGAGCAAATAAGAAATAGCTGATTCTGCAGGCCTGTCTCACTTTCAGGTCCAAGTATCTGCCACTCATTCTATGACAAATCAATAAATAAGGTTTTATCTACTTTCGTCTAGTTTTTCGTATTATGAAAGCCGATTCCTGCTTCCAAGTTACGTTCAATCTTTTTTTCCCTTCAATTCTGAACTCACAGGATGCTATTTATAACTTGCCATTAAAGTTAACCTGTTGTGATGGAGAGTTTCTATAGAAAATCAGTCTTTGCTATTTTGAACTCGCAGTAGAAAACATCGTTTACTTTTTCTTTAATCAACTTGCAGACAGCCAAAGGTACTCTTTGCTCAAAGAAATGGCATTTAAGCAACTATTTGCATTCAGCATTTCATTTAACTGATCTAAGGCACAGGCCAGGACGTTCTCTTACTAACATTCACCAGGTACTACAGCAGATATTTTACATGAGAGATACTACTATGCAAGTTCAAACTCGGAAAAAGTTGCTGTTTACTTACGCTCCTTTTCAAAAAGTTCTCTAACACCTGGTAAATCCTTCGCAGCTCCAAAATATTTGTAACCTCTGTTTCCTGGAACTTCTTTCCCTTCATGATCTAGCATTTTAGGTCCAATTCTCTAAAAAAAAATAAAGTGAGCTATTTTAAATGTTATTCCTCTTGCACCTCGTATTTCCTATTTTCCTGGGCATATCGATAGATTAAGATGGATAGGTGAATAGATGGATTGGGACAGGAGAAAGGAGACCTGCTATACCAGTTCAAACAACCTTACAAGTAAAACGCCTTCATAGCTCATTTTTATACAGGTCTCTACTTTTATTAGAGATCACACAGTTAAAAGGACTGTGCAAACCATAAAGTGCCTAACCTGATTCACCTCGACAACACATCTACGTTTGTCTCATTTCCTGTATTAGTATGTTCAGGTATCAGATACACAGGCACTATTAAATCTGACAAGAAGCATACATTTGATGATTTGGCAACTGAAAGCTAGCCTCATCATTTAATTTTCAGCAGTAATTAGCTGACCTAACTAGAATCATTTTATAGGCTCCCAGTACTGACTAGAAGAGGATAACCTTAACACATTGTTGCAAACCCTGAACAGTAAGTTAAGACCACCCAAAAAAGCATTGCAAATGAAAAGCCAGACTGGCTCATCCTAGAAACAAAGTATTTTTTCTAACGTGAAATAAAATTTTTTAGGGGATGAATACAGTTCATCTCTAATAAACACTGGCCAAGTAATATTTGGTAAATGAAATGCTATACAGACTTTTCTCATCGGTCACTTTAATTGCAAGCAGAGCAACTATGTAGTACAACAATCTACACTTACAGCATAATCAGGACCTCCTAGCTCCTTTATCCTGACTTCCCAGTGTCCTTTCTCCCTCAGAAGCTTGTTAATTTCATCATTCAGGTCCCGAATTCTGAATTCGCCTAACCCAGCTGTTAGGAGGGGAAAAAATCAAAAAGTTAATCAGCTTACTAAAGGCACCAGAAAAATTTTAGAATTAGTGCAAGGGAGACAGTTTAGAGCATATAAAATGTTGTGATTTTTATTGTAACTGCTTAGGACTGAAGCTTAGTACAAATAAAATGTAATTAGAAAAACCTTACCATTTTGAATCTGTGCCACCTTCTTGGAAATTTCCCCGATGATCTACTCAAATAAGAACATACAGAGAAGTGAATTTCTCAACAAAAATAAACAAGCCAGAAAACCTAGAAAGATCTTTTGAAACGTTGGCCTTTTGAACTAGACACAGATTTGATTCACACACAGAGATTGTACCTCAGAGGCTTAAAATAAAAGGATTTTTTTTTTTTTTAAATAACTGTAGCCATAAATAATCTATTTCCTAATAAAGATATCCAATAACTTCACCTCTGGCGTATCAGGCAAAGAAAGGCAGAGGAGTATCTAGGGAACAACAAGCCAGTCACAGTCCCCAGGAAGAGCATGGATTAAATTCTCCTAGAAGACATTTCCAAACACATGAAGGATCAAGAACTGGGAACAGCCAGGATTAATTTAATAAAGGAAATCACGCCCAACCAAACAGATTGCCTTCTAGGATGAGCTGACAGGCTCAGTGCATGAGAGGAGAAATGCTGTTTACCTTGGACGCTGTTTACCTCAGCTTCAGCAAGGCTTTCAGTACCATTTCAGTAGCAGGAAATTGCCTGCACAGCCAGGCTCAAAGGGTTGCGATGAGCAATACAAAGATCAGCTGGCAGCTAAGTACTAGCTGCATCCCTCATCAGGCAATATTATCTAGTCTTTAACAGCCTGGATAATATGACTGAGTGCACTTTTGGAAAGTCCACAGATTATAGCAGTTGGGGGGGTACAAGGCTGCTGAAAGACCTTGATGGGTTGGAGAATGGACTGACAGGAGCCTCATGAAGAAACAAAGGAAAATGCAAAGTCCACATCCGGAACAGAATAAACCCATACAACAGTACAGGCTGACTGCTGAATGGTTTGAAAGCAGCTTTTGCAGGAAATGATTTGGGTAGATGAAAAAGCCGAACATGAGTCAGCAATATGTCACTGTAGCTAAGGCGGCCAACATCATAATGTGCTCGATTTCCAGCAGTGTAGCCAGCAGGAGGAAGTCAGTCATTCTTCCCATCTCTTTACCAACCCTGAGACCACATCTGGAGTACCACGTCCAGTTTTGGGCTCCCTAATGCAAGAAAGACACTGACATATACTGGAGAGAGTCCAGTGGAAGGCCACCAACATGGTGTGGGGGGGGTGGAGAATTCGATGTTCAAGAAGAGGCCGAGAGAACTGGGTTTGATTTGCCTTAAGATAGAGAAGACTTAAGATAGATAGAGAAGACTTAAGATAGATAGAGAAGACTTAAGATAGATAGAGAAGACTTAAGATAGATAGAGAAGACTTAAGATAGATAGAGAAGACTTAAGATAGATAGAGAAGACTGAGCCAGACTCTTCTCAGAGGTGCACAACAAAAGGACAAGAAGCAACAGACAAGTTGGACCATGGGAAATTCTAATTAAATTCAAGGAAAAAACCAAAATGTTTTCATCAGGAAGGTGGTCAGAAACTGGAACAGGGGCCCAGAGAGGTTGCGGAGTCCCAGTCCTTGAAGGTGTTCAAAACTCAGCTGGACACAGCTTTGAGCAGTGGGGTGGACTACATGACCTTCCAGTCTAAATTATTCTACGATTTAACTGTGAGCATACAAGACAAGCCCAAACGATTTAGCACTTCGCATTTCACACAGCTTGCTTACAAAAGTTCCACCTGTTATCGAATTAGAACAAAAATCTATAGCTTGAGTTACCTGTCGCCTCCATTTCTCAGCTTTAGGCAATTCATTACACTCTGATGCAAGGAAAGGTCTTCGCTCCTGTTCAACAGAAAGCCACACACCATAAAGTTTGAATCTAGCATCAGAGAATATATTCATAGCACTTCATGCCACCTTTACTGCTTGGTTAACCCCAAACTATGGCACCACGCTTCAGTGCCTGCTGTTCCCACCAAGGTTTAGTAAGTGAAAAAAATAACTATTTACAGTCCTGTCAAATTAAACTGCCCCAAAACATAATAACTAATTTAAATCTGTCTTCTTGGAAATGCAACCTATCACCTGTGTTTTCAAATCCTCCCACACTCCTAATACAAATAATGTTCAAGCTAGGATAGTTGAATTACAACATCATGTTCAATATACTAACGTCTAAATAAAATCCACTGTTTTCCTAATAAAAGTTTAGGACTTTCCTCATTGCTACTACCTAGCTGCTATAATTCTTCTTCAAGATTATTTCCATTCGAGTTCTCCCAACTACAGTTCATCCAAAGCACCTTTTTCACTATTAAGCCTCTTCCCCAACTTGTTTGCACTCCACTGACTGGTTTACAGAAGCTATTACTATATCTTACCTCCGGGCCTCTGTATGTAGTTATTTTGCCCCTTCTTATTCCTCGAGTACCTATACAGCTTTTCCTTTTGTACATTAAAAACTTTCCTTGATACGCCAGGAGCCCTACTTCATCTTATTCTCCGGCTGTTGTTCAAAGACCTTTTTAGCTACAGTTTTTCCCAACTAATTGTTTTCCACTTTACTGCTTTATACTGCTCTCACTTGTGTTTACAGCATCACTTCTCAAGGTGCAAACATAAGACACTTCACTGTTATTTGCAAAATTCCTTCGTCACTTTCCTAGAACTAAAAATTTAGACCTGTCCAAAAAGGTTGTTTGGAACACATTGATCCCCACAAAAATATTCTTGCTTTTTGAGTTACAGCGTACTGAAAAGTGCACAGGAACATCCAGAGAGCACCTAAGGTTCCATCTAGGTTTAGGAGTGTTATTTACTGCATTGCAGTTTTTTTTTTTTTTTTTAATTACAAAGTTGCTAGCTCCATTTTAATTCAATCTAACGCCAATTAAAAAAATCCAGGGGCCAAGTTAGCTACATAAGAGATGACAATTTTGAATAGATGCATGTATATCATGAGTTTGGCTAATGACATATCAATATTGTGTCATATGCAAGCCTTAAGTTCAGAATGAAATGATGCCAGAAGTATTATGTTTAACGGTTACTATTTTGTCAGGATACTATCAGAGAATGAAAAAACATGAAAAGGACTTCTCTAGCAAATCTTATGATTATAATCAGTAAAAATAAGTGAACATAGGTGGTATAGATATTTCCATCAGGTGGTATAGATATTTCCATCAGGTGGTATAGATATTTGCAGAAGGAGTTAACTTAATTCTCAAAAATTATCTTTATATTCTTCCTCTTCTTCCCAGCAAAGCATACTACCTCTAAAGCATTACTGTGGTTTTATAAGCTACTAGGTATTCTACCTATAACATTAAATAAAGATTTAAGTGATGTTCAATTTTCACTTTCCTCTCAGCAGCCAAGCCAACACCCCTCCCAAATCTGTGTTTTTAAACAGGTTATTTAAGAAAATACTATTTACAAATGTTATTTTGTGTCACTGTCGAAGAGAGTCCCTACTTCACCTGTTTTGCAGAGGACTAATTCCACCATAGTTCTGTATGACAGCTGTACCTGGTATACAACCTTTCTGGCAGCTGTCACATAGGTCTGTAAGTGGTTTGCACTCCACTCTAGGTTAGAGCTAGCAAAGCTTTAATTTTTTACATCATACCTTAACCTTTCCTTCTTCAAGCTGAGCCTGACGAAATCTTGCCAAGGCCGTCCTAAAGAACATAAAAGAAACAAGTTTACTTTTACACATCTACCTTCCAACAGTAGCAACTTCTGCTCTAGCTGTTTATTATTGATTTAATTACAGTCTGTAGAAAGGCCTAAACACATTCATCAACTAGCTCTTCTGGCCAGTGACTTCTTCAGCACTAAAGCATCCCCAGTGGTTAATTTCTTACATCACTGTAAATGGGGCTATTAGATTCTTTCATAATTAGATAGCTAATTAATATTTCTGTTTAGCACATTCTAGCATGTTAAATATTATCCGGAAAAGCATGTCACAAGTTACAAGCACAAAGTTTACGTATCTTAGCAGAGAATACATCAACAAGCAAACAAAAGTCTGAAGAGAAAAAGAGCGTCAGCGAAAGGAGGGCTGAAGTTAATAATCAAGCTTTTTTAGTATTACTAAAATATTTCAACAAACTGACAAGTGAGCAGAGACGAGACAGACTATTTATATAGACTATTTAATACATAGCTTTATTAAATTACAATGCATTTAATAGTTACGTTAAAGTAACAGAAAACAATTGAGAGGACATTTAATATCTTTTTTTCAGTAGCATACCTGTACCCAGCGTTTAAGCCACTTATCTAGGCCCCATCTGCTATCATGGAACAGAGAGGCACTTCCAGAAAGAAATTCACACCATCCAGTTCAGTATCCAAGACGCACAGGGTGGGATCAGCACAAGAGAGAACCTTGCAAGATACTACATAGCTGTAGACTTTTCACCCTCCCCCAAAGTCACTCTCACAAACTCAGGAAATATTTTAGTAAAATGAATAAGCATGGGATAAACACATGAGAGAGCATCTAATCTAGTAGTTTTAAACATGTGGTCTACAAACCATTTCTAGAAGTGCTTGAAAAAGCAAGTCAGTGCAAAAATAAAGCTGTTACAAAACACTGGCTTAGTCCAAGCCACTCCCCCCCCCCCAAGCAAGAAGAATTGCACTTAAACCAATGCTGACAGATGCTTGTCTAGCCTGTCATCTCTGTTTCACAGATGCAAGCTGCCTAAAACCATAATGGGCCACTAGAATACACTACACTGCGTTTCTTGACGGTTAGAACAGCATCACACAGCTCAGCTTTGCAAGCTCCAGCACACAAAGTACCTCGTGCACAGAGAGCTGCTATCTCTCCCAACTCCACTCTCTTCTGACTAACGCTGCACATACAAGCTAGCGCTGAAAAGCATTACCAAACCGCCAGCGCTTCAAAACAGGCCGAGCAGCGAGCGCCACTGGGCGAGCACGGCTCTGTGGACGGCAGCCGCTGCAGACAGCGCAGATGCCTTTGGG